GGCCCAGGAAGGGAGTGGGAAGAGTGCTGTTGGGTTGTGGGGATTGCAGTGAATGTCACAAAACAGAATGTGTGCGGATTGTTGAATGGAAAACCAATTTGCTCTGTAAACTTTCACCCAAATCACAACAGAAAAAATAAAAAATTAAAGACTTTACTATAAGCTACCCAGAATGCACATATGGCTTCTGGAGGACAAAGGAGCGAGGGAGGGGGCCACAGTGGGAACCGCAGACCAGTCGTTCTGGCTGCTCTAACCCTGGAGGCAAACAGGTCAAGGGCCTCCATCTCAAGAGTGAGGATCGGACCACTGGGATCCAACACGACAGGGCAAAAGAAGCCCACGACTATGAGCTGCTTCTTCTGTGGCAATGAACCTTACAAAACCCAGGTGCTAGCAGATCTGAATAGGATAACTTCATACCTAAACCAAACGCCGTTTTAACTTGAGCTGAGAAGTTCATTTCTACCTTTCTAAAGAAAACGATTCAGCCTCCCCAACCCCCTTTGGTGAAAGTGTTACTGTTCAAATAATAAAGTAGACAAGAGTCAGGATTTTTGACCCAGATAAAAAATTGCTTAGTGCTTGTTCCGAATATTGATGCAGCTGCCCTCAGAGAAGACGTTGTAATTACCGGATATTAGGAAACAGAACAGATCATGCTAAATAACATTAGAAACTATAAATAACTCTAAAGCCAGAACAGATACATATCAAACACTTTTTTCTTCATTACTCCCAAATTCAATATTCACTTGTTGAGAGTTTTTCACCATATTTCTGCTAGTTTTCTTTGCACATTTGTAACTAGATAGAATGGCAGATCGCAGCCATAAAACCTTGACTGTCACACAGAGTGCAGTGATTCTGGTGAAAATAAACTTGCTAACTTAACTGCTCTCAGTTAATGAACTGCCTGAGCCCTCCTCACTCCCCTCTCTCCTACCCAGATGGCTAATATTTGCATTTCACGGTTTCAAATTAGATTTAATTAAACCTTCACTCCTTCTTAAACTGAAAGATTGATTTTTACATTTCAGGACTTCAGCCAGAATTGATCACAAGACCCCACATCAAAGCGTTTACACAGTGTGCTTTAGAAATACTGCTGCCTTAGTCAAGCTGTATCAGGAGATAAGGAATTAAAGTTAGGCTAGGAAGTGATGTTAAGAAAATCTGCAGTTTGA